CCCGGCGGCGTCAGTTTTCTGCCTGCACAGAACCACCTGCTCCGGACACTTCGTGTGACAGTCACAGGACACACGGCTCCTCCCCCTCGGCAGGATGGTTTTAGGGCTCCTCCACGTCGTGTCATGTGTCTGTCCTTCGCTCCTGTTCATGGCCGCTTCCCGCCCCACTGTGCGGGTGACCCCGCGTTTTGTTTCCCCGTTTATTTAGCTCATGAACACGCGGGCCGTTGGGAACTACGCTGCGTGGACGCACACGCTCCAGGTTTTGCGTGGACAGACGGTTTCTACTTCTCTTGGATAATTAACATCTGAGGAACCGCCTGGCTATTTTCCGCAATGGCTACACCATTTCACAATCCCACCGACACGGTAAGATTATTTTTAAGTTTGAGTTTTAAATTTAAAAAGACTATAGACACCCCAAACATCTATTTTAAAGGTCACTTTCTTGTTTCGAAGCAGAAAACTCCAATTTTTATTGACTTGGGACTGTCTTCAGTGACCAAGCAAAAATATACATTCATCTTCATCATTATAACCACTGCAGCTACCACTGCTTGAGAGCCTACTACGTGCCAGCCCTGAGACATGTCGCACGCACTTGTACAATGGCCTTACATGTAAGTATTACTCTTGTTTTAAAGATGCAGAAACGGAAATTTCCGTAAAGATTAAATAATGCTGAAAAAGGTAAGAGAGAATTCAAACTCAGGAGCGACCCTACGATCTGGACTCCATCTTACCATGTGACACTGTTTCACATGTTTTTATGAATGCCACCTATTCTGGAGACTGCCATGTAGCCCATTTGTTCTACACTGGTTCCAGAATAAATGACTTACTGTAAAATCCAACAAATCCAGAAAATTGTCTAAAGCTTAATATATATGTACATGAATCTACATACATTACATCATACGCAACATACACATATCTACATAAAACAGTAAAACCAAGGCTTATTTAAATGCTATGGGCGACGCTCATCTAGAGAATATGACAAAACTGTTTTTACCTCTCTCTTTCTTCTTTCTTCCTGAGTACGATGTAAAAGAGAAGCCTTTTCTTCCTAAACACGAAGAGATATAAAAAATTACAGAATGTTTTGACCCAAAAAGGATTCTAAAGACCATCCCATCAAATTTTCTGACTCAACGGGCAGTCTGAGGCACAAGAGGTTACACGGTTGTCCAAGGTCACAGATCCAGTTAGAGTTGGTCTTTCAGGAGATTCCTAAGAACTCACACACGAAGTGACTTCAGGTAAAGCTGAGGAGATGCAAACAAGCCAGGCACTGGGCTAAGGCCAACACTGACTGTGATAATGGACCACGGCTTTGCAAAGGACAGCCCTCGGGGGAGGGTGGGCACCCTGAGCAAGAGGTCTGTTATTGCTGACAGACGCATGAGTCTATAATCATCTCGATAGAAATTTCAATGAAAAAGCAATTTCTTTACTGTTACCAAATTTAAAAAAATTTTTTTTTCATTCGAAATAAAACTAAAGTGTGAACAAAGTTACTTGGTATGTAGAAGGAACTAAATAATAAATGGGAAGGTTAAACATTTCAAGTAAAATAAAAATAATTAAAAGACAACCCTCCTCCCCCCAAAACTGTTCCAGTCTACAGCGTCGGAGCAAATTTAATCCAAAATAAAATTAAAAGTCCAAGATATTACATATGAATTGTTAGAAAAATTAATAAACTTAAATTTTTTAACAAAAACATACACCCCGCCAGAAGAATGTTAAAAAGCAAGTAATTATCAGTTTAAAATGTGAAGGAACACATGATGCATGGAAGGAAACATTTCTCACTGACAAAATTTAAAGCCACAGAGATATAATCTCCAGACATTTTCCACTGTAGAAAAGTTCATTTCTTGAATTTCAAATAAAAATCCTTTACCACATGTCCAAAGTCAGAAAATATTTTGTTTTAAACTTAATTCATTAAAAGGAGGTGGGGGGAAGGAAAATCTAAAGTAAAAAATGCAAAGTTATAATGTTCAGGATTATGGAGAGCTTACAGATAAAAATAAAGACATGTCTGGTCATTATCTTTATGAATAGAACTGGTATGTTTAGATCTATAATTTCTTTTCCTTCTATCTCCATTTGTCCAGATTTAATATGCATTCATTATTTGGTTACAGCTTAAGATCAGATTTCCTAAAATGGTATACACTGTTACAACTATGAAAGAAAATACTTACTGTCTGAAATTAAACAAACTAACATTTTACCTGGGGACAAAAAGGTACATGCTGGCCAAAACCACTAATTTACTTCAACACACAGATAAGCTTAGTCATCACTAATCTAAAAGTCCCACGGGTTCGAGGACTTCATGTTTCTTCCTATCATGTCCCTGTCATCTGCTTCAACGCCTGGCACATGTAGGTATTCAATAAATATTTACAAAATCCACAAATGAACATTTCCTTTAAGCAAAACAAAGCATTCTAAGAGAAGGAATAACCATAATAGTTGCAATATTTTAAAATCAAAATAGGCACTAAGCATAATTGGATTATAACCAACTACTAGAGTTTCTTAGAAATTCTACTCCGAGTCAGAAGCCTGACAGAGAGCTCATTTCAAAAATAATAAGCACAGCCAGGAAATACGAAGTACCGGATCCGCATACCCACAGACACCCCGACAGCTGATTTCGACAATGAAATTGCATTGATAAAGTGTCGAGGCCTTTCAGAGAGCACTCCTGCTGCTTAGCTGTTTTACAGAAAGATGAGAAAGGTCTAAGGATGAGGTCACCCAACCTCTCATGTCGAGTCAGTCGCATGAGAAAGTCGGCTCCAGGAACCGCGGCGGCAGCCAGCCCTGATCTGTCTACACCCGCGCGCTGTGCACTCGCACCCATGTGCGACACCCGGGGCACATCCACGGGCTGAGGGCTCGCTCCACGTGCTACGCCATGTTCCAGGCCCTTGGGTTTCGCTGATCCACGTACCCCTGAGAACAACCCTACGAAGTAAGTATTGTTATCTGTCCTGTTCGTAGATGAGAAAAGTGCTTTTCAAAAGCAAGTTCAAGATCTGAACCCAGAAAGGCCCGGAAGCCTGAGCCCTTAAGCGGTGTGCTATTCACTCTGAAAAAGAACCTGACGTGTGAGCACATTACTTTACACTTTGAGAATTTAAAACCACCTTTGGTCTCCATCATCTATAAGGAACCTGGCAGGTATATCGGAAAGGAGGCTGGTGGGAGGAGGAAGCCACAGAAAATTCCGATCACCAAAAGTCTGGCACGGGCTCAGAGAGCACAGGCGCGGGGGGCCAGAGAAACACAGGAACCTGAGTGTCCAGAGAAGGTGCACCGAGCGATCAAAAAGCCAGCTCAGCACAGAAAGAAAGGCGAGACAGAGCACGTGATCGAGGCCCGCCCATCGCGTAAGCTGTCCATTTGCAGACTTGACCTGGAACCCACTCCAGACAGATCCACGGCCCCTTCCCACGGTTCCCATCTCAGAAACGGCTGTTCAAGACATCGGATGAGGCGCAGGAGGTGCATCTACTATCCATTCAACACTTATGGAATCGTGTATCATGGTAGGCACTAGATATTTTTAATGTAATAAAGCATGTGTTCCCAAGGAGCTCGTGGTCTAGAGGGAGAAAAAGCAGCCTATTTACCGAGTAACTCCTGTGGGGAGACGTGACCCTAGACACTAGCAATAAGCCTGAGTAAGACGGACACGGTCCATGGCCTACGGGAGGCCACAGGGTGAAAGCCGGCATGGAGAGAGAACAGGTGCTCTGCTCGACTCGGAGAACAGTCAGAGGAAAGGTGCACTCGAAGGAGGTCTCGGAGGGCTGAGTTCAGCCAGATGACCGAATGGGAAAGCGTCCCAGCAGAGGGAGAGAGGCGGCCGTGACACTGGGGAAGAAAGCAGGGGCTGGGGGAGAGGCGGGCTGAACCCCAACGTGGCCCCTCCCCGTGTAGGAGATCAGAGGCCGGAGTCCGAGGTCCATCTGAGAACGCTAGCTCCCTCTCGCCACGCGGACCGTGCAACAAGACGACATGGGAGGGAAGGGAAGGGACGATGACACTGAGCCATCTCCGGGACGGACAGTAGGGCAACAGGCAATAAAACGGAAGACGGAGAGAATGAAATTTAGAGTTGAAGTCACCCATCTCTTCAGCTACACTCCTTCCGGGTCCCCATTTCTCTGCCTGCATCGCCTCGCACAGGGTGCCAACCCTTAGAACAAATAAAAGGCTGCGATGTAATCTAACATCATTTCCTAAAAGATCACGGAGCCCCAAAGACAAGAACCGTCTCTTCCGGAAGCGCGACGATCGAAGGCCCGCACACTGACGGAGCCCGCACCCCGCCCCCGCCCCCTGCTCCAGGCGGCCCGCCGGGACCCTCGCCTGAGAAGCACCAATGCACTCTGAAGGGTCAGGGGCGCACACAGCCTGAGCACAGGGACGCGGGGTCACAGCCCCGCCGCCTCCTTTTCCCGACGACGCCTCTTCCAGAACTGCTCAAGCACATGGTTCCCGCCGACCTCCCTTCAAGTCTCACGGGCCCCGCTCCTGCTGCCCAGCCTGGCCTGCCCTCCTGACACCAACACGCGCCTAGCGAGCACCCACTCAGCTCGGGCAACACTTGGCTCCACTGCCACCTCTTCCGTAAACCTCTCCCTAGAGGACCGCCACCACGCCCTGTCCTCCACAAGGTGGACTAGCGAGCTCGCTAATGTAAACAGACTGCCCTGCACACATGACAGCCATCCACGAGTTCATGACAAGCAAAAATGACTATCTGCACCGGGCAAATCAGGGAGGCCAAAACGGGTATTACCTACAAAAACACGGCCACCAAAATGCTGCAGGAGGTCACTCGCCAGAGCGGTAGTGCGGAAGTGATTACTTTGGAGAAGTGCCTGCCTAGCCCGCAGAGCAGAAGGTAGGAAAACGCTACTTGAAGTACATTGGTGAAAACGGCAAGCAGTGAATGACCAACAGACATGTAGATGCCAAGTGAGACGTCACTCTAGAAAGGAGGGTGTGACTACATGTGCTGAATGACAGGAAGCTGCTGCCTGCAATGAGCAGCCAGTGGCACTGCGGGGCCCACACCCAGACGGAAGGGACACCGAGGGGGCCGGCCGGCACGCCCAGCTCAAACCACGCAGGCTTGACAGCGTGAGATGCCCCTGGGTCTGTATGTGCGTGCCCGACGCAGCCTCTCGGGGTCTATCACCTACAGGTATGACACGGTGTCTGAGAAAGACACTTTTTAAAATCTTAGTGCACCTGGACAGAAGAGCTGAGAGTAAATGCGACTTTAATCGTATGTTTCTCCTTCGCTGAATTACGAGTTCCTTAAGAATAAAGTCTGCGTCTTATTCCTCTTCATAATCCTGACATTTAGCATTGTGCCCAAGTGAAAGGTTGACTCCACAAAGATGGGACACTCTCCCTGAAGTAATAGTCAAGGGGGACGTTCCAGCTTTCAGAATGGGGAGAACTGTCCACATCTGCTGCCAGAGAATGAAGTCACCTGCCTGTAACAGGAGGGACGGCCTGACACTCGTCAGGCCCTCTCTTAAACACGCCTGCGCTCCTGAGATGCACGAGACCGCCTTTCAGGCACGGTGCTGGACCATACTGGGTCAGACCCCCTCCCCGAACCCCCAGAGCGTTGTGTACCACCCTGCTCCTCCCGTGTTAAGTCTCTGTTCTCGTTTGTCATGGAGCCATCAACGGATTTAAAAGACGCCCTCTAGGTTATGGGTAGGGCAGAAAACGTCCTCGCAGACTACTTGGTTCGGCTCACGGCTGACAAAGAGCAGAGGGTGAGCGGGGCCAGAGGCCCGGCGGCCCCCACCTGGGGGTGAGCAGCCGCAAGCCCATCTTCCCGGGGGACGAACGGCCACGTCATGCGGCTGGCCCTCCCTACAAGTGGACGAGAGACCAATCCACAAGGGCCCCTTCCCGATTATGTTATCTGCTTCGTCGCCAATCACCGCTTGGCCAATCGGCAGCTCCGGGCCTTGCAATCAGATCCGACACCTCGGCGGCGTTCTCGGCGTCTCCATTTTGATTCCCTGTCACACTGTGCACTTAATTTCAGGCTGTTCAGAAGTCTTTCCAGTCCGTTCTCAAAAGTGTACCAGGTTTGG